GCCTTGTCCACAGAGAGTGATGAAGAGAAAGTGAACTTTGGAAAGTTTTCACTGGTTTAGCAGTAGCTGTGGTCAGATGCATGAGTCCTTCTGGCTGGCTGGGAATCCTGACCATTGTAGACCAGAATCAGAATCAGAATAGAGCTGGAAGAGACCTTGGAGGTCTTCTAGTCCAGCCCCCAGCTCAAGCAGGAGATCCTCTACCATTTCAGACAAGCGACTGTCCAGTCTCTTCTTAAAAACCTTCAGTGATGAAGCACCCACAACTTCTGAAAGCCAGCTGTTCCACTGGTTAATTGTCCTGACTGTTGGGAAATTTCTCCTTAATTCTAGGTTGCTTCTCTCCTTGATTAGTTTCCATCCATTGTTTCTTGTCTTGCTTTCTGGTGCTTTGGAAAATCAATTGACCCCCTCCTCTTTGTGGCAGCCTCTCAAATACTGCAATACTGCTATCATGTCCCTCCCTTATCCTTCTTTTCCCTAGACTAGCCAAACCCAAAGCCTGCAACCATTCTTCATATGTTTTAGTCTCCAGGCCTTTAATCATTTTAGTTGTTCATCTTTCTACTTTTTCCAAAGTCTCAACATCTTTTACTGTAATGTGGTGACCGAAACTGGATGCACTATTCCGGGTGTGGTCTTACTAAGGCTTTATAAAATGGTACTAATACCAAGAGGACAACAGGATGACAGGAGGACCTAGTCAGAGTAGCTCACACCTTCATTACTATCCAGTTCGGTTTCTGCAATATATTTTATGTGGGGTTGCCTTTTAGCACTATTCAGAAACTTCAACAGATCCAAAATGTGATGGCCATGTTCTTAACTGCCTCTCGGTATTGGGAACACAGAACACTGATGTTGTGGCCTGTGTGCCAGTTAAAAGTGGGCCATGATGGCTCAGCAGTTTAAGGTGCTAAGCTTCTCAGCTGGGAAGCTGACAGTCCAGGTTTGACACCCGAGCACCACACAATAGGGGTGAGCTCCCATTGCTCGCCCACCTCCTGCTCACTTAGCAGTTCAAAAGCAGGCAAACATGGGCAGATTAATAAGTACCACTTCGGTAAGAACGTAACAGTGGTGGGTTCCTCCCGGTTCGGTCCGGTTCGGCCGAGCTGGTAGTGGTGACGATATGATGTCACCAACCGGTTCTCCCCACCGCCCCCCCACGTTATTCTTACCTTTTATTTGGTCCCACCCCCAATCTTTTGCTGCCTCCTGAGTCCCAGCTGATGACTAGAGGGAAAAAACCTGTTTAAACTCTTGCCGCGGGCTTCAAAGGGCTCCCTACAGCTGATCAGGGTTAAAAGAAAACAAAGAGCCTTGATAGTACAGTGTCTAAGCACCCTGTTATTAACACAGCTGCCTGCAATCTGCTGGTTCGAATCTCTCAAAAGGTCGACTGCCCTATCAGGTAGAATGAGGACCAGTGTCAAAAGCAAACAAATGAGTCAGGTCGTAAGTGCGAGGACCATTCAAATTCAGGTCGTAAGTGCGACTGATGACTCTGACCAGCTAGCCACGCCCACCTAGTCACATGATCTCCAAGCCACACCCACAAAATAAGCCACGCCCACAGAACCGTAGTAAAAAAATTTAGAACCCACCCCTGGAACGTAACAGTATTGTGCGTACCTTTGCTGTACTGCCATGCTGGCCACATGACCATGGAAATGTTTTCAGATAACACTGGCTCCTTTGGCCAAGAAACGGAGATGACTGGACAGGGAAACCTTTATCTTTACTACTAGTTAAGAACATGAACAGAGCTCTATGCCTATCCTGGTCCATCTAGTCCTGGAATCTGTTCTCATAGTGGCCAACCAATTGCAAGAAACCCACAAGTCTTCCAGTAGATGCGCTTCAGAGGCAGTTCCACTTCCATCCAGGCTAATAACCAATGATTCCCATGACTTCCATGAACTGGTCCGCCCTTTTTCTGGAGCCAGCCTAGGTAGTAACAACAACACATCTCATGGTAGCAAATTCCCAATTTGAATTAAATGCCAATTGGTTTGGAGGTACAACTGGAGGCATTTGTGTTGAATCATAAAGCCCTTCATGGCTTGGTTGGAAGGATCTGCAGATAGACCTGCTCTAAAATATTTGGTCCTAATCTTATAGAAGTTGCTGCTTGTAAATCCCTCTCTGTACAGGAATGTAGAATGAGAAATTCTTGCACGATCTCATGTTCAGTTATAAGATACTACAAAAATAAAATAATATCCATATAATCCTTAAAATATATATTTCATGAAATCTGTGCTATAGGTCAGAATTTTCTAAAAATATTTTACTTCTTATAAAAAAACCCAAAACTTTTAAAATAAAAACAAATTTTATTTTTTTGCTTCTGTGTATTCTGTTGAATTTTTTTTTTTTAATTTGATTTATATGCCGCCCTTCTCCGGAGACTCAGGACGGCTTACAATGCGTTAAGCAAGAGCCTTCATACTTTTGTATATTTATACAAAGTCATCTTATTGCCCCCATAATCTGGGTCTCCTCATTTTACCTACCTTAGAAAGGATGGAAGGCTGAGTCAACCTTGAGCCTGGTGAGATTTGAACTTGCAGTATTCTTGCTCTTTTCTATTCATTTGCATTTGCTGGAGTGCAGAACAGCACTCTCTGTTAGTTTTTCCAAGGTCAATTGTCAGCGTTCGAACATTTAAAGTTAATTTTTTCCTCATATTTTAAAACCTTCTTTTAATAAAGTTTTATTTTCTCGATCTCTTGTGAGTTTGGTTTACATCCAATGGGAGTGGGAAGAGTCAGGCCTAAACAGAAAAATGATACTGTTGGAAGAAAAATCCAGTCCTGTTCCAAGTCAGGGTAAATTTAAAAAAATAAAATAATAAAGGCTGGCTATGAGGAAAGAAGATCTCTGTTTATTTGGTTTCCAGAAACTTCAGTGACAGCAGCTTGTTTCTGGAGTGGCTGACAAAATGGCTGAGTGAGTGGATGGATTTTTGTAGGGTTCTGGGGTTTTGTGATTGAGATGCTCCAGGGGGTTGTGCAATGTAGTGAGCCTTGTGTCTTTTCTTATTTCAATGTTGGTGAGTTAATCCTATTATGTCCTAAAGGTCATGTCCTGTCCTTACAATTTGAGTGGGGGAATGTAAATTCTTAACCCCATCAGCTCCAGTGGCAGCTGGGGCTGACCGTGTTTTGTTTATGAATAGATTGGCCCAGTCTTTCTGAATGGATACAAAGGCCAGCCTCTTCAAGCTTCTTAGTTTGAGGCTGTTTTCCTTTGGCAGGAAGACTGGGGCTGCTTTCTGCCTTTGTTAAGATTTTTCTTCATTTCTCCTTTGGGGAAAAATAATATTCTGCCTCTTTTAATATCCCCCAAAATATTTTATTCTTTGTGGGGTGGGGGCAGTTTCCCACAATGCAATGAGAATCAATCAACTTCAGTTCTTTATTTGCTTACACTCAATAGAATTTTTTTTGCCACACTAAAGTTATAACCTAACCTAATAGATGTGCCCTGGGAGATTCTAGAGCAAGGGTTTCAAACTCAATTTCATTGAGGGCTGCATCAGGGTTGTGTTTGACCTTGGGACCAGGGGTGGAGGTGTGTGGCCAGGATGGGTGTGGCCAGTGTGGACATGGCCAGCTCGACATCACTTGTTGTGGAGGCACCTGTGATGGCTCAGGTGGGGCTGGGGAGATCTATTGTCTCCTGAACTTTGTTTTCACTGACAGAGGCACTGCGCCAGTGCTGGGATTCAGCTGGTTTTGTCCGGATTGCATGAACTGGTAGCGGTGACTGTGGGAGGCTCCGTCCAGACATAATGCGTGACTAGTGCATGTGCAGAAGGCTGTGCACATGCAGAGGTAGCGCGTGCACTCACATTTGCGAACCGGTAGGGAAGGTTAGTGAATCCCACCTCTGCACTGCACGCTAATCCTTTGCTGTTTCTAGGGTGGCCCCATGGGCAAGATCTAAGCACTCCATGGGCCGCATCCAGCCCGTGTGCCTTGAGTTTTGACATACCTGTTCTAGAGAGTGGCTATTCTGGACCTTTTCCTCTCTTCCCCATCCAGCTCTGGATTGTGCAGTCTGTTGTGTTGGGCCACTCTCTGGAATATGATGCCTCCTCCCTGGGAAGCTATGATGCTACTGATGACATTTTCCCCCATTCCATCTTCCAAAATGCTGATACCTTTTGGTGCTGCATAGCTTGAATGTGATGTTATGGTATTTTATTTACTTATTTAGCAATCACTATGTAAGAAAGCTACACAGGAGGTAGGAGGTCTTTCATACATACATATGTTGGGATTAGTGAAGAAGACGCCATGTAAGAAGTTATGAGAAGTTATGCTAGCAGTGATGTGTTACCTGGTTGTGTAATAAAATATCTGCAAGAAAACCACCAAGGTCAGAGATGACCAAGGACTTCAACCCTGAGCTACAAATGTTCTCTTCTATCAGTATTTTAAGAGCCAAGGTGGCGCAGTGGTTAGAGTGCAGTACTGCAGCTACTTCAGCTGACTGCTAGTTCAGCAGATCAGCAGATCAAATCTCACCGGCTCAAGGTTGACTCAGTCTTCTATCCTTCTGAGGTGGGTAAAATGAGGACCCAGATTGTTGGGGGCAATATGCTATTTAGTATACTGTCGATAGTTGTAAACCGCCCAGAGTCCTCGGAGAGTGGGCAGCATAGAAATATGATTAATAAATAAATAAATAAAAATACATATGCTCTTTCCCAATTTTTCTTATGTAAAACTGGATACTAATAACAATTCATAAATATATGCACAAACAGACAGGATGTATCATTATTAAATTTGTCTGCTTTTCAACAGTTTCATAGCCTAGATTATTTTGCTGAAGTAGACATACTGGGTTTTTTTTCCTGGCCAAAGACCAAATAAAATAATTTACATGGACCCAAAGAAATTTTTTCCTAGATTTAATTAACATTTAATTTGATTATTCCCGAATATTTTAGAAGGTTCTCCAACAAGCTAGAATAGCCACCAATGTTTGCTTGGCTCCAAGACAATATAATTTATTAGCAACAATATTATTCACAGAAAGGGTAAGACCTTCTTATTACCAGTTAACACACTGAGGTGGAAAAATGGAAAATTATGAACATCAGCAAAAGAAAACATGGACAAGATACAACGCCGTACCAAATAATATTTCAAATACAGTTGACATTACTGTTCTTTAAGGATAGTACTTTTCTTTATTCCATAATATTATTTAAACTAAGAACATACTATCATTGTACTCTAGTTCTTCGTTGTTTGGATTATTTTTGTACTTGAAAACCCATTAAAATGATTAAAGTATAAAAGATCCCAGGAGCTTCTGACCAAGGTGAAGACTAACTATCCATGAATCACAGTTCCCAAATTTTCCTGGAATAGTGTCCTTTTTATAGCATCTTTCATCTCCTTGTTCCTCAAGCTGTAAATGAGTGGGTTGAGCAAAGGGGTCAGGACTGAATAGAAAAGTGTCACCACTTTGTTGCTTCCTCCTGAAGCTTCAGGGGCTACATAAGTGACCATGATGGAGCCATAGAAGAGGCTTACCACTATCATGTGTGAAGTACAAGTGGAAAATGCCTTCCGTCTCCCAGTGCTTGAAGGCAACCTCGTTACTGTCCAGAGGAGAGTAGCATAGGAGGAAACAATAAAGAGGAACACACACCAAAATAGCAGTGGAGCTGAGGCTGTAGAAGGCCATTTCTGTGCCTGGGGCTGGAGTGCATGAAGAAGCCAAGAGTGGTCCTGGATCGCAGATAAAGTGGTCGAGGATGTTGGAGCCACAGAAATGGAGCTGGGAAATCAAAATGATGGGTGCCAGAAACCAGAGAAAGCCAGAGGCCCAGCAGGAAGCAGCCAGGATGCAGCAAAACCTTTGAGACATGAGCACTGGGTATCTCAATGGGTGGCAGATGGCCAAGTATCGGTCTAAGGCCATTGCAGCAAGAAGGAAGCTTTCGGTGGTTCCCATAGAAAAGAAAAAATAAACTGGAGGAAACAGCCATGGAAAGAAATGGCATCTGGTAGAGGAGAGGTCAGATCGAAGAGCATCCTGGGTACTGTGGTGGTTATGTAGCACATCTCTAGGCCAGAAAAGTTTCCCAGGAGGATATACATGGGCAGGCGGCTGAGTCGAGAGTCCAAGAGAACAGCCCCCACGATGCAGAGGTTCCCCACCAAGGTGAAGGCATAACAAATGGAAAGGAGGGAGCACAGGAGCAGCTGGAATGAGTGTGAAAGGGATGGGAAGCCCAGGAGGACAAAACCCGTCATCACCCTGGTACGGTTGACTTGATCCAAAGGGTTGTGCCTCTGTTGATATGAGAATCACATCAGAAAAACAGTCAGCTTCTGAATGAAACTATGTTATGTCTGCCTTCCCCAACTTTATTTAAATGATTACGATGAAAGATAGAAACTAACCACTGTTTAGAAGAAAAGGAAAGAGGAAGGAAGTGAGGGAAACCAATGTAGAGAAAAGAAAGGAAAAAATACAAAGAAATTATTTCTGTTATTTATTTATTTTTTAGTTGTTATAAGTAGGGGTGGGTTTCAGCAGGTTATGACTAGTTCTGGAGAACTGGTAGCAGAAATTTTGAGTAGTTTGGAGAACCGGTAAATATCCCCTCTGACTGGCCCCGCCCCCATCTATCCTCTGCCTCCCGAGTCCCAGCTGATCGGGAGGAAATGGGGATTTTACAGTATCCTTCTCCTGGAGTGGAGTGGGAATGGGAATGGAGATTTTACAGTATCATTCCCCTGCTACGCCCACCAAGCCACACCCACAGAACCGGTAGTAAAAAAATTTGAATCCCACCACTGGTATAGATGTACTTTAACCTATTACTATTGTTATAACATTGCTTACATTTCTTCTATAGTTTTTTTTTTTGTCAAATCATCAAATTTGACAAATTTCGTAATTTCCTTTTTTTTCCAAACTGGAATAAAGAGTTTCCAATCCACATTAAACTTAGATACTTTCCTTTCTCTCAGTAAAGCTATCTAAAGGGTCATCTCAGCAACTGCATCATCTTCACCATCCATTCCTCCATTAAATGCAACAGAGTCCATTTTTTATTTTCCCATTATCCACTAAGCATGGGAAAATTATCTCAAATAAGCCATGCTATTCCCCACTTTGTATGGCCTCCAGGTATGTAGTCTTTAACTTTCAGATTTTTCAGTAATTGCCATAGCATCTGCCTAATTCTGGGAACTGAAGTCCATGTCCATATGGACTAATCCTGGCTGGAATTTACACTCACTGGCCTGAAAACTCTCTGTTGTTGTTCTCCGCTACTAAATCCAGATAGGCAATTCCTTTTGACATGCCTACCAGAATGGTTCATCTAACCATTACACCCAACAGACCTATTGATGGTATGAACCTTAGTGCCTCTATGCCAGTCAGCTGCTCACAGGGCAGGAATACCGGTACTTGTAAAAAAATAAAAGTTTGAGAGTTTAGCAAAGATTTGAGAATATATCTCCAGAAAGCAAAGAGAGATTTCAGAGTGATAAGGAATTTAAAGGTGGACCTTATATTATATATTTGTCCCATTATCCAAGTTTTCTAAGGCAGCTTCTAAATGCAACTCCTAACTGCCACTGAAATATTATACATTCTACCTTCCCAAGCTACCTTCCCCAAACCCATTACTATCTGTATATCAGACTACAGCTTGCAACACATCCCACCAGTTTACTACCAGGAGCTATAATCCAACATCTCTATTTGAAGAAATTGGATTGATTATTCCTGAATTAGTCCTTAAAATTTGTAAATCAGAATTTCTTACCCCAGGTTCGGAGACATCCCAGGATGGCATTTGTCATGCTAATTTCATATGTCCAGGGATGGGATGGGATGGGATGGGAGGGGAGGGGAGAGGAGGGGAGAGGAGAAGAGAAGAGAAGAGAAGAGAAGAGAAGAGAAGAGAAGAGAAGATTATCATTATTTTACTTCAAGCACACCGACCCACATTAAAAATGAAATTCTGTTGCCTGCTCTCAAGAGAAATTGTATATCTACCCAAATACATACATACATAATACACATACACACATGCTGTATACATACATAAATATATACCTACATCATACATACATAAATACATACATACATACATATACATATATGTATGTACGTGTATGTGTGCATATATATACATACACACACACATACACACACAAAAAAACTGACAAAACTGTGACTGAATCTAGACATTTTGCTTTTTATATAGAGAACCTCTTGTGTAACATCATATATAGGTTTTAGTTCCTATGTTCAAATGATTTTGATTTAGACATACTGATTGATTACCTACTATCAAGTCAGAGTTGACTTCTAGTGCCCGGGTAACTAGACCTTCTCCAGAAGAATCAAACCTGTAGCGTAAAACATTGATCTTGTTTTAAAAATAATGACATTTACCTTTCCTCTCTTTTCTTCCTCCTAAACTTAAGGAAAAGTGAAAATCTCCTTAAGAGTGAATTGAGGATTCCTTCTTCAGCTCAGAATAAGAATTAATAGGTTATAGGGCTGGATTTATTTGGAAGTACATCCACATTCATTTTTTTTTTCATGATGCAAGGATGAAAGGACTATTGAATTAGAAGATAAGAAGATTAGATAGTGTTGTTGGGAGTCAATATGCTGACTCTGTAAACCGCTTAGAGAGGGCTGTAAAGCACTGTGAAGTGGTATATAAGTCTAAGTGCTATTGCTATAGTGATGAAAAAACCCACTAACACAGCAAACCTTACCAGATTTGGAAGAATTCATCTGCAAATCCAGCCAACTTCTCCATAATGAAGAGCTCACCAATAAAAGCAATCTGGCACTGTATTTTCATTATTCAGTGTCTCAGGAGGGTCCTGTCCACCGAGAGTAATAAAGTGAACTTGAGACGTCTCCTTTTTTTCTCTTGTTTATTTGGCATTTCTGTGGAGAAAAGATGGAAGGGAAAAAGGAGTGAGAGATAGCCTTTTCTTCTAACTCAGTATTTCCCATCCCGATTTGTTTTTCTTTAAGTGAGGTTTGTTAATTTAGCCCATAGGAAAAGACTAATTCTCCCTCGGTCATCCCTCTCTGCCTATTAACTTTCACTGCATAATTTTTAAAATGTTGTATTTTCAGTCAGTTTAAAGCAAACTGTCAATAAATTTGTGCTCCTGGTCTTTTTCAAAAACAGCTTTCTTTCATTGGTTTCAGATTAGCAACATCAGAATTTTCCAAATCCTTTTTTTTTTTTTTACTTTTAATAAAAATAAAACTTTTAAAAATTAAAAAAAACTTCTTTTTTTACTTTTATGTATTCTGTTGAATTCTTGCTCTTGCTCCATTCATTTGCATTTGCTGGATGTCTTAATCAAAACAGCACTCCAAGTTAGCTTTTCCAAGCTTGGTTGCCTACATCCCAACATTTAAAGTTAAATATTTTTTCACATTTTAAGTCCTTCTTTTAAATAAAGTTTTTTCTTTCTATCTCTTGTGAGATTGGTTCACGTTCAGTGGGAGTGGGAAGCATCAGACATAAGGGCAAAATTGCACAATGAAATCCAATTGCATCTGTTTTTATTTGCTTCTATCCAGGGGTGAGATCCAGCAGGTTCTGACAGGTTCTAGGGAACCGGTAGCAGAAATTTTGAGTAGTTTGGAGAACCAGCAAATACCACCTCTGGCTGGCCCCAGAGTGGGGTGGGAATAAAGATTTTGCAATATCCTTCCTCCAGGAGTGGGGTGGGAATGGAGATTTTGCAGTATCCTTCCCCTGTCATGCCCACCAAGCCATGGCCACCAAGCCACACCACACCCACCAAGCCATGGCCAAAGAACTGTTAGCAAAAAAAAAATTGGATTTCACCACTGCTTCTATCTAATAGACCAGCGGTGGGCAAATATGGCCCCTTTATGATCTGTGGACTTCAACTCCCAGAATTCCTGAGCCAGCTTGGCTGTCTCAGGAATTCTGGGAGTTGAAGTCCGCAGGTTGTAAAAGGGCCACAGTTAGGGTTGCCAGGTCTGCTTCCAAAAAATAGCGGACAAGCGGGGGGGGAGGGGAGGTTAAGTAGTAAAAATATAAAAAAAAATTTACAATTAAATTATATATTTTCTTACAAACTTTTTAACACGTATTAAAATAATCACTTCAAAACTTTACTTAAAATTCAAAACATCAAATATATTATAATAATATGTAAAATATTAAATTACATTTTAATTTCATCATAAAGCTTTTGAATAAAAAAAGTGTCCACTATTTTGTGAAAAAAAATAGTGAACATAATGTGAAAAAAGCGGACTGTCCGCTCAAATAGTGGACACCTGGCAACATTAGCCACAGTTGCCCACCCCTGTAATAGACAGAACCTTGGCAGACTAAAGCTATAACTTTTTAACATAATAGATAAACCCTGGGAGATTCTAGAATTGTGGCTACTCCTTCCTTCATCCCTCATCCAATATGGGACTGAGCAGTCTGTTGTCTTGGATCCGTCTCTGGAATATGCTACCTCCTCCCTGGAAATTAACCAGTGGAACAGCTTGCCTTCAGATGTTGAGGATGCTTCATCACTGGAGGTTTTTAAGAAGAGACTGGGCAGTCACTTGTCTGAAATGATATAGGATCAGAGGTGGGCAGCACATGAATTAACAACGTTCACCAAGAATGTGAGCGTACGTGTGAGGAAATGTAGGGAAAATAAAATAAAAAGAAACATTGACTTCCGACTCTCTCTGTAGCAGTAGAATAACCATTAGCATAAAATCCCAGCTTTTTGTTTTTCCATAATAATATGAAGAAGTCATTTCTATAAAGACCTATCAATCTAACCTATAAAACCCAAAGTCAGTGTTTCATTCTTTTCCAAATCAAGCACGAAGTTCAGAAGTGGTTCCCATGTGGAAACAAAAGTACTTACCATATGTCCTTCTCTTTCATCAGAATAGTCATAAAACTATTTTCCATTATAAACATAGTTTGGAAAATCTCCAGGGGACAAAATAATTTGTCCCCTAGGTATTCATGCATAGGGTTCCTGGCTACCTTGACTTAGAGTTCTCCAGTGGTGGGATTCAAATAATTTAACAACTGGTTTGGCAGAACTGATACCTAATTTTTTGTTTAGTTCGGCAAACCGGCTCCAAAATGGCCAAACTAATTCACGTGCTTGCTTGTAATGTGAATGATGCAGGATCAGCTATATGAACACTGAAGGGCCCTCCTTATTCATATTATTGTAAGAAAGAAATGTGCTGGTTGAGAAGA